GCAGGAATGGCTGGAGCTGTAGGTTAGTTATTGTAGAAGTAATTGTAATCTGTGTTCTTTTATGATAGTTTCATGGATTTCTAAGGTTTTTGATTAAAATTCTTGCCGATGAGAAACCGGGCACAAAGTTATGTTTTTGTGTTATATGTGTTTGAAGTGTAGGACGAGGTTCGGTACTTGAATTGAGTAAATTTATGATTTTGTGTTGCATATTTGCAGAGTTATGGATTGCAGTTTGAAATTCTGATAGACACTGTTGTAATTGGTGGTTTGTCTTTATAGTTTCACCTTCTCTCGCTGAGTTTTCGTGGGGTGAGGGAGGATGTGAAATTTTAGCTTGCGATTGGGTTTATATGATGGTTTTGAGACTAGATTATCGCTTATAGTCTCTTCTTTCGTAGCAGTAAAATTGTGAGGTTGATTGCTACTTTGTTTAGAGTATGGATGTGTTCCAATTTCAGGTTAAAGATTTTAATGGCAACTTATACTATTTAATTTTGCATTTTAGTTTTCTAACTTGAGGCTGTTTTTTGGCTTTTGTTTTCTTAATGATAGCTGTAGTTAAAAAATCATTGGCTTAACCATATCCTTTTGGGTTTTGATTTTTGTTGTGATACTGCATGATTTTCCTTATTTTTCAATTTTAAAAATTCCATGGGATGGGGAATCTGATTATTGTTAGCTAATGAATCTGGTTATTCTATAGCTTAAAAGTAAGAGGTCACCAGCTGTTGAAAATGGCTGTTAGCTGAGGCTGTTCTATATACAGATTCCTGTATAGATATCCATGGCCAAACCTCCTGCTCCTATTATTAACCCATTATCTTAGTTTAGCTAGGCAGGGAGACCTTGGAATGAAAGCACAAAAATTTTCTACTTTTTTTTTTGGTTTATTAAAATATGAGCTAAGTTTTTAGGATGATGAGGACACGCTAATTGATTTATTTGCTTATTGGCACACTTTTTGAGTTATGTTGTTCATTTCTTTTATGGAATTACGAGGCATAATGCATGGATCTTTGCTGTTCTACTTGCCTTTCTGGATTTCAAATTTTCTTTTCCTTTTCAATTTATGTTTGTTTTTTTTAAGTTATGTTGTTCATTTCTTTTATGGAATTACGAGGCATAATGCATGGATCTTTGCTGTTCTACTTGCCTTTCTGGATTTCAAATTTTCTTTTCCTTTTCAATTTATGTTTGTTTTTTTTAAGTTATGTTGTTCATTTCTTTTATGGAATTACGAGGCATAATGCATGGATCTTTGCTGTTCTACTTGCCTTTCTGGATTTCAAATTTTCTTTTCCTTTTCAATTTATGTTTGTTTTTCAAACTTACATTTTTTCTTGTGTCTTTAGACATTATATTTTGACTTGTTGATCATGTTAAATTTTCATAATCTGTTGGTTTGCACTTGTATATCTCTGAATGCTGTGCACTCTGATACAAAGCATGTGCTTGTAAATGCTTTTTCATTGTCATGGTACCATTTCCGGTTCCAGGAGAAAAGAAGATGGAGGGAAGATCAAGGATTGATCGCGACTCTGACAATCAACAACTTCTGCAGTTGGAGGAAAAAGATGTAGTATCATCTGTTGCTACTGTGCTATCTGATCTTTGTGGTCCTGGAGAATGGATGCCCATGGAGAAACTTCATGCTGAGGTTAGTTACTGTCATCAAAATGCTTCTGCGAATTCATTCTTTTGGTTACTATCTAACAAAAACTGTTTTGCTGTCTTCAAAATGCTTCTGCAAATTCATTGTCTTGTTTACCATCTCACAAAAACTGCTTGAGTTGCTAAATTATTTTTTTCTTTTAAATAGTTAAAAGACTTTAAGATTTGTTTCGTTTTTAAAGTACTTGGAAATCCCTGATCAGTATTAAAGAATCCATTGCAATTTATAAAGTTATATCATGGAAAACCTTTTGTTGGGGCATGCAGACTGATGATGTTAGGTTTTTTGACAAGTCAATTCTACTTTGAAAAATAAAAAAAACATGCTTCTTTCTTTTTTAGCTTATAGGGACAGGGAGAATTGCACTCTTGTCTCCACCCGTGTTATATAATGCACAAATGCCTTGCACTCATACTGAACTCAGAGGCTTTGGCATGCAAAGTGGCATTTCTCTTGTGTTTAAGGAGTCCCTTGTTAACAAATTATAAGCTGGATAAGAACTTCAACCCGGCTATGCTTTGCAAAAAATTATATGAACATATTTTAGGTAATGTTTATTTTAGTCACTGCACTAGTGATTATACTGTTTTAAGAGAACAGTCTACAATTTTTACCTAGAACCATCCTTGGCAATTTTTTGATCTGCATGTCGCTGCTGTTTCATTCTTGTTTTTGCACATCCCACTTGCAACGGAACATAAAGGGGCCATTGTGGCATTTTGTTTTTCCAGACTCCATTGGTTGTTCAATATATCCTCATAGATGCTAGCCCAGTTTTTTCTAGTCCTTGTTTTGGGTGCGCTCCTCTGTATGGTCAGATTTGAGCTTTAGGATGCCTTCACTTGTTCACTTTGCTTGCTGTGTCCTCTCCTACAGCTGGTCGAGCAATATAGCAGCATTTGGCATCATTCTCGAGTAAGGAGATATCTCACATCTGAGGACTGGACGGGTCCTGAAGCCAAGGGCAAACCATGGTATGGCTTGCTCATGTTGCTAAGAAAATATCCAGAGCACTTTGTCATCAACACAAGGTCCAAAGGTCGGGTGACGCTGGAGTTTGTCTCTCTTGTCTCTCTGCTTACTTAACATCACAAGAGCATTACAGGGAAATTCATGTAGTATGGTCCAGTTTTAAGCTGTTCAACTCCAACTCGAGAAATTGCGGGTTGTTCACCCGTTGACACATGTAAATGAAGACCGGTAATCTACCTTTTGTCGCTATTGTTTTCTATCTTTTGACATGAATGTTTGGACATGATGTTTTCAGCTATGAGAGATTGCATCATCTAGAACAGCTTTAGTAGTTTTTATGTCCATCTCGTAGATGTATTGAAATATGGAAATTGCAGCAGCCCCTCCCTAACATCTTGATTCCTTTTCCTTAACTAGTCTCTTGGTTTTTTATCATTAATCGAGAGCAGATGACAAAAGGGCTGGATGACGAGTAATTCTAGTTGGTTTAGGCGACGATAAGAGACTAGTAAATTTGTTTGCTTGCAGATTATACATCGTTTCAATATTCAAACTCATGGTGGGCATGCATGCTATAACATAAAGATGGAAAGGAGAGATTTTGGGGTGAAAATGTGGTGGATGGCAAGGCAAACAGTAACTCTAACCTTGTAGTCATATGGGTGCTTGAAAAACACGTCAGAAGATCTCGAGTGAAAAATTGGCTGTGCTTAGCCAAGGTGAATATATGTGCAAATTGCAGTCCCAATTTCCAAATGATGTCTCCACCTTCATTCGTTGGCTGTTTGTTTGATGAATTTCTATGTTTAAAGAAGCTAAAGCACCTTTGAAAAACGTTGTAACTCCGTGCTCAAAACAATTTCTCCCCTACTGATCAGACTCCATGAGCGACAACTGCGCTTTGGCCTCGTTTAGTCGTGACCCAAGGTTAATTATTCAATAGAACAACATATCGGCGCTCATGTTACTCCATCCAAAAAAACTCAACTCAACACTTGTTTGCATGATTATTGAAATCTTTTCACGTTGCTCAAAGAAATGATTAAAATATTCTAAAAAGTGAAGGAAAAAAAAGACATTAGGGAATATTTTTGTGCTTTTATAGTAATTTTTTTTTGTTATAACTTGATATTTAATCAAATAAATAATAAATAATTAAAATACATAGTAAAACAACAAAAATATTCTTAATAGCAAAAAAAAAAAATTAACTTAGAGATAGTGGCTTTTTTATCCTTTTTCAAAAAATTTTAATAATTTTTCAGTCAATATAGGGACAATTTGATATTTTGTTAAATATAAAAAATAAAATAAGCACATGAAAGATGTCCACACACTTTAGATGGTATCTTTTGATGTTCAAAAATAACTTTCTGCTATATAACTGGAAGAGTCGTTGTGTCATCTTCTCTTTACAGTGACGTGTGTCAGTATTGGTTATTCAATTTATCACTAGTTGGCTGTTTTTTTTCCTTTAATTTCTCTCTACTCCCTTAAAAATTATAGTTTGATTTCTTTGTTATTGATATTTTAACTCCAATCTTTATTTTTTTAATTTTTATTCTTGACTCTTTTTGTATAAATTTTATTTGTTCTAAATTTCATCATTTATTTTCAATTTATCAAATATTATATTTTTCAATTTGATCCTTATTCTTTTTATTTCTAATTTTTTTCCTTGATTCTTTTGTAAAAGTTTTATTGGTTTTAAATTTTATCCTTAAATCCAAATTGATAATATTATGTTTTTCAATTTGGTCATTATTGTTTTGATTTATTTTTTTTTGTTCTTTTATAAAATTTATTATTCTTTTCAATTTCACCCTCCAATAAAAAATTAATTTTAATTTTTTACGTTAGTTTTGATCCTTGTTCTTTTAATTTATTTTTTTGTTCTTCTGCTAAGTTAATTTTGATTTTCAATTTCAACCTTCAATCAAATATAAGAATTATTTTGTATTTTATTTTTAATTGATATTTTTAAATTCTTTTGTATAATTGATTTTTTAAAATTTTATCCTTTAATATTTAACTGATTCAGAATTAAACTTCATGAATTTTTTAAATAAAGTGCTTCAGGTCTAAGGACCCGGGTAATGAGTTTGAAAAGTTATCAAGAGTATTTTTTTTTAAAAAAATTATAATTCTTTTTATTTTTTTATAAAGTTATCTTAATTTTATAATCTAAGTTGCTGGTTTGGAAGGATATATCATGTTGGCTTGGTCTTAATTACTGAGATTACATATTTGTTAAGCTAACTCGGCTTAACTAAGAATTATTTTTTTTTATTTATTTTTTATTTTTTTGTATTTAATGAGTTGTTAACTCATATACATCATTCATCCCCTTTTAAAAAAAAAATATTTTTTCCTTATGTTATTACAATCACTTTTTATTTTTAAAAAATTGATCTATCTATTATTGTTTTTTTTTTCTAATTAAAATAAATTTAATTTATTCAATCTAATAGGGTTAATAACCTTGATCACACGTTTTTTTTTTTTTTTTAAATAAAGCTTACGGTAGCTAAACATTATTTTTTTTTGTAAAAAATAGTTCAGGCCGGCAATTAGCCACAGGCAGCAAGGCTAGTCTCTTTCTATTCCGAAACAGGTTTAAAAGTTGACCATTTAAGAAAAACTTCCAAATAATTTAGCAACATAAATCAAAAACTCTGATGAACTCGAGCAAGCACACTCAGCAAGAATTTACCATGTAGAAAAAAGTTGACAATCACATTACAATCTTTTACCAAGTTGCTAAAAGATGCTATGAACTATATAATTCATAAATAGAAGCTCAAATATATCGATACATAAATGTACAAGACCAGAGGAACAAAAATTGTTTGTGCTAGAAATGCCGAACAGCTTGAATAAGCAGGCACAAAAGGCATATTATTGGTATATGTGAGCTGAAAATTAAAAGCCTCTCAAGATTCTTCCTTGCTAAGTGTGCCAAGAGCTCTTCGTGCATAGAGTTCTTTTTCCCGAGCTTCTTTTGCAGCAAGCGCTTCCTCATCAAGTACTTGTATGGGAGACCACTCTGGCAACTTTAACCAACCAGGTTTCTTCTCTTTTTCCTTGAATATAGATTCTTTAAAATTACTCAATGCAGGTCTTAGTTTGATAGTAGCAAAATCCACCGTCGTGCCCACAACAGCAAAGATGACCGAGTAGCGAAAGGCACCAAACTGACCCCCTAAAATGTCATAAAAAAAAAAAAAAAAAACAATGCATTTAAAACTATGATGGGGAAGGGAGCTCGACAAAGGAAGATGCAGAAGACATCACCTAATTAACCCCCTCGTTTTTCAAAGGGAGAGATCTCCTTACGTTAGGCTCTTTCAATAAAGGTTGGCGTTATAGAATGAAGGACTGTATTCACGGCATCATATTTATACCATATCATAGGACAAAAATATGTTTTTACTTTGCATTTGTTTTAAAAGGTGGAACAATGCTCTCAATGTTGGATCTCAAAAACAGCCAACCACATCATGAACAAACTGCTTGGTCAATAGGTTCTGCCAAGGAAGAAATGAAAAGAAAACATCTGCTTCACGAGCAGGATCAAAGAAACAGATAGCAATGAAATGCTCCTGTCTTTTCGGTGGCTTAATGATCCCGCAAAACCAAAGATTACTTGGCCTGTATTAAGATTGAAATGAAAGAATAATGTCCCACAAAGAATTTCGCACAATCAAAGGAGTGAGATTAGAACTCGACCTTGTAGACGTCCAAGAAGACCACCACTGCCAAACCCTGCAACCGCGGAGTTTACTAGATCATCTGGTTCAGATTTTCGAACTACCCTTACGAATTCACGCGCCCCTGAAAAATCAAACAACAACAAAACTTCCAACTTTTAGACAGCTCCAAGAAACATATGATGGCTCTTGAACCAAAATCCAGTTATGTTTCTGAAAATGTTAACATTTTCACTGTTGTCCTTCATGCCTTCAATTAAAAATGATCACCAACATCCAGACACAAATCAGGTTCTCTAACGACAGATTCCCTCTAAGTTATGCTCTCCTTTCTATCACTAGGCAGGCTCCAGGTCTTGCAGATTTAAGGCCATAAATCATTCCCAAACTACAACGTTAAAGATAACAACGTTATGAGATTAGAGAAACAAAGATGTTTACCGCAATAGCAGCCGGTGACGATGGAAAAATTAGTGGCATAAGTTGTTGAAATGTTAGCGAGCCCATGGACTTTTCGATGCTTAGACACCAACCCAACTCCTCCACCAGTTATCCCTTCACATACATTTCAAATTAGTTTCCTTTTATGTTTTAAGAAAAAATAAAACACGGAGACAAATAGAAACCTGCAAGAAGTGTGGGGATGAGTATCCGCTCCTTCCAATTCTCCGAAAACGAAGAAGATGGCGGCGGAGGAGGCGGTTTGGCCTTTTCTTCTAGATGTTTCATACCGCTTGATCCCATTTTCTTTTTCTCCGATTGTTAACTTCGGAAGGCGGAGGCGGAGGTGGGGGTGGTGGAAGGAGGCGGAGGACTGGATGAAGACTATTGCGATTTGCGATGGTGACAATGGATTGTTTTATTACAGGTTTGACGGCCCAACCTGCTGGTTTACTGGTTTCGAAAGATTGGGCCCATGTTCTGAACCCATTTCACTTCGGCCCACATAACATTTGAGCACAGAGGCAGCCTGCTTAGTTTTGTGAATCAAATAAAGGAATAAATGATTGAAATAAAAACCATATTCCTCATGTAATCCATAATCTGATAATAAAAGAAGGAATCAAATTGATGATAAGAGTATTTATATGTATTTTTTTATTCTATTACTCTTCTTTAGGGTTTTTATTCTATTTATTTATTCCTTTATTTGGTTTTATTATTTTTAATGTTTTGTTTTCTATTTATGAATTATTTTGGCTTTTTTGGTTGTATAATGTGATTTTCGCATTATTTTTATAATGTTAATTAACAAAACCTAGCAAAGTATAATAAATCCAAATGTATAATAGTTTAATTATTAAAAAAAAATCACATGGTGTAAATCAAAATAAACAATAGTTTATTGGGTTTATTTAATTTTTTTTTGTAAGCATGATTTTCACATGATTTAAACGGAATTATTAATAGAAATTAATACATTTATTAATAGAACTTAACAAAAAGAGTGTAAATACAAAATTCTTGTCATCGAATTTTACTGATCCAATTACCAGCTAAATAAATCAATAAATGATAAGTTTTTATTAAGAACATGTAGGTATCGGTTTTTTAATACATTTGTTGTTGATTGTTTTAATTAAAAAAGAAGACATTTCAAACTTCATATGCATATTTCGTATTTTTTCCATGAAGTTCTGAAATAAAAAGCTCAATTCAGGGCGACCCACGACAACAATGTCAGAGTATAAAACAACCCATATTTTTTATCAAGTTAATAATGTTTTTTCTTATTATTTTTTCTCAAATCTAAACCAGTTTTGAACAAGTTGATCAAGACTAGTTTGGACAAGACAGCCGAGTCCCATGTTTTGAATCGAGTTGGGTTTTTTTTCCTTAAACTCAGACTTGTCAGGACCCCAGAACAACCGAGTCCCAATCAACCCGCCAAATCAATCCATGTTTTATAACTATTATATAAAATGAATTTCTAGGTCTCAAGTTATTGAAATATGAGTTGATCAATCCATCTATCCTTGTTCTTTTATGATAGCATGCATGGTTACTGTACTAGGGCTGAACAAAACAGTAGACTAGCAAAAACAGTATTAACATCAACTGCAGAGATCATTTTCATTATCATACAAGGGAATTTTTCTTCTAGAAGCCAAGTTTCAAGCGTTCTGCGGCTTCCAGCTTCTGAGTTGGGAGGAACAATCACTGGACCAAAAAGGGAACTTTCCGTGTATTTAATAGCTCTCCAAGCGATGGTAGTGTCATTAGCAACAGTGCATGTAAATACTGCACTCTTGTCTCCTTATTGAGTTAAATTTGTAAATATATGCTTACTTGAAGATGAAGTTTACCATCATAAGCCCTAATAGGGGCTCGTGCGCATAAGAAAAAAACAGGGGCGGCCGACGAGGGAGAGCTAAACTGTTAGAATGGGATTGACAGTCTCGTTCTGAAACTAGAATATTCAAGAGGCTGATGAGTCTGGTTCCACATCTTCTGAAGCTGAAAAGCCATTGAGTCCGTCCTTGGCGTCCCAGTCACCATCCTGCAATGTAGTCTCTGATCTCTTCTGCAAACCTGCCCCGATCCTTCTCTTGTGTTCTGGAATAATCATTAACAGCATATCCATTAGATTCTGCGAACATATATTAGAAAGAGAAGGACCAGGCGGGAAAGATTACTTTTATTGTTAATTGCACTGCGAGTGATTGCCAAAAATTCATCCCACTTGAATTTCCTAAGTTCTTGCTTTTCCTCCTCTGAGAGCTCAAAATTGGGCTCCCTCCCGCACATGAAAGCAGCCCTGCATAAATGAAAACCTTGAGACGAACCCCAGATATGTTTAGTAACCAAACCTGACCAAGGTCTGTCTTTGTAGACATCCTGTGATAACAATTTTTTAACACACGATGCTAACCCTGAAAAAAAAAAAGGAGAGAGAGATAGAGAGAGAGAGAGAGCGAGTTTTCAGCTTCCTATTTATTTCTTAACTCAGTACTGATAAACCTGCATGGACTGCTAGCAGCTATGAGAAGAACGAGCAATGGAAGCCTAACTCTAAGAGGAAGGCTGACTACCAGAAGTGTGCAGTGAGGATATATTTTTCCTTTCCAGAAATGGAAGTTTATATTTTTGTTATCACTTAGATGTAGAATAGCAAATGTTAACAATTTGTGCTCAATACTGTTTGCATAAGCGTATGCCATTTTTATTGTCTTGTCTATTCCCATATGTACTGCCTTACTCTCATCTCATACTTTTATAATTGAATTCATGGCTTCCAATCATTTTTCTGTCATTTAAACAGTGGGCATGAATACATATGTAATAAAATACAACAATAATGACTGGTAGGGCTTTACAAGCCGTTGCAATAAGGGTCACAGGCATTGGCCTGAAAGATACTAGACAACTCTTCTTGTTAGAACATGATGATAGCCATCTAACGGAAACAGTCTTTGTAAAGGAAAATAGAAAAATGAAACTGCAAACATCCTCAAGCTGCGGGATCCTAGATTCCTAAGAAACGTTCCAAGGAAAAGTGGTTGATTTGGTGGATGAATGGGACTTGTTCCTAACTTCATCTTAATAAAGTAGGAGGTAGTTTTCTCTATCAAGATTCAAGAATAAAGAAGTTAGTTGCAACCACGAAGCTCAGCTATAGTTTTCCCTTTTCAAGTCATTACTTTCTTACATGGAAGTTCCGATTGCCTCTAGCAAGAACGAAATTAATTTAAATGTGGAATAAGAAAGCCCAAAAAGAAAGAAAGAGATATGCATTACTTCTATCCTAAAGATTATCCAATATTCTGTTATTGCAATGAAAGAGAAAAGACTTCTGCACCCTAATATAACTGAAAAGAAAATTACATAATCAATGACTATTCTGGAATACAGTGATCAAGTAGTTACTCAAAGAATTGGACAAGACTTTCTTCAGAATAGGATATTGTGGAAAAAGAGATATGGCATGGGTCGCGGTACTGATGAAAGTAAGAACTCATGAAAAGCAATGCAAACTTTAGCCTACTACCTGTCATACAAACGAGCAGCCTCTTCTTGAGAACCAACAGTCCCTAGGTGAATCTGCTTCTTGTCAACTTTAATTGCTGCCTGCCATTTCATATTTTTAAAATAGACGCCTCTCATCAGGCATGGTTCCTGGTTCTGAACATGTTTCCTCCTGTGTCTCTTTCTGCGTTTAACTGGTTGCTCTAGAAATAGAAAATGAATGAAGCAACAAGGTTAAAAATGCAGTGCAGTCAACTGTCACATTAGTGATATTCCACGATGACATAATCTTGGTGCCTAATAGAATCATACTGAGAACTTAGCAAATTTGGGAAATATCAGATCTGACATTATTAGTGTACAAATCAAAAGTGAAATGACAAGGAAAATCAGAAGCAACTACATGCAAGGTCTACTAATAAAAATCAAAACAAGTCAAGAAATGCTCATCTCCTTTATAGATAAACAATGGAACAGCTATAATTTTCGATTGAAGTTGAAACCCACACCATCACTTAGACTCTCTCGAAATTTCTCTAGCATATTTAGTCCAGGTATATAGCATATAAATAAATAACCTATCTTCAAATGACTCCTTCCTGCTATTCATACTTGAAAGTTCTTCTTAACAGAAAACATCAAAACAAACAGCACTTGCAAGGCCATCCAAAAAGTGGCGATGCTTGTGTAATGTCTGCAAGAGTGGACCTAGCATATAATGCTTCCTCTGTATCTGTTTCCAATACAACAATTTTCTGTAGTCTCGTTCTTCAGGATATTGATTCTCCACAATGTGAAACTTTTAATCAATGAACCTTGATGGCTTAACTTAATATTAAACAATTCCTGTGTATGAACTAAGGGACCCAAATCAGCTATGAAATCACATAGCAGTAAAATTTAGATGGGACTCAAGTTCATAATGACATTTATGATCTGCATGTCTGGGATAATTCATGTGGTGAATGCATAAAAGACTTCTGGATAACATAACTACAATAACTTTTTTTAATTGTAACTAAATTAGTCAATTGGAGATTTCTCTTCTAATTTTCTGATGGCTTTTTCAGAAACAATTTCAATAGAGGGTTAAATTAAACTTCAGAGTCAGAGATACATCAGTGGCAGAAGGATACTCAAAAAATACAAAACTTGACAAATGCGGGACCAAACGTTAATAATTTATCTTATCCTTTATTTTTTCTAAAATAAGTAAATTTTCCTCACATTATCTTATCTAAACATGTTTTCCAAAATGAATTGATCTCAGTTCATGATCAACAAGATCACAAATGTAACCACTTGTATTCAGCCTCTTGAATACCTAAACCTTGTATTGCAACCATCAAGTACATCCAGAGAAATGGAATTAACCTATAGAAAAAACCAAAAAGAATTAAGGCATCACTGTTTTCCTTCTTTATGGAAGGATAGCTTGGTGGTTATGTAGTGTACAAAGAAAGAGCTATCATTAAGCATTCTCCAATACTTAAAGAGTCCTTAATCTTCAATGTAACCCCAGGTCATGAGATTGATACTTGAATTTCAAAAGCATGTCAACCATGTTGTAGGTTCAAATTTTCCCACCTTTGCAGTTTGCCACTTCCATTATTGTCTTAACTCCATATTCTTATTTATAATATTGATCCACAACATCAAATTAACCAATCCAAAACCTATAGATGGAGATGGTTTCCAATGCATATGACCCTGTTGGAGGCGTTGCACCCATACTATCTTTTAGTTAAGAAGAACTAGTTCACAAAATATTTATGAATAGCCAACACAACCGATGTATAATTTTGCATGTACTTGGTTGACATGAAATCATACAAATAAGATACATCTATCAGAATTGACAAACCTGGATATGGTTGAGATCGCTGCTCTTTTGACGAGCTAGAAGCAGAAACATTTGAAGAGCCAGCTCCCACTTTTAAAATAGTTTTCTGGCAGAATAAATTGGTTAATGTAAAGGCAAACAAAATCATGGAATGAAAAAGAATTTGGTAAACGCAACACTTTCTATCCCTTTTCAGCCAGAAAAGAGTGCAATCTCATGTGCCTAAAATTTGCAACACATTCATCAAGGATAATATCACATCTAATCATTACATGCCAATTAAAACAACCCATTGAAAACATAACACGATTGCAAGATGGTTACATCAAGCATAAAAACAGGTATTTTATAAGTGATGTTTCTTGTAAGTGTTTACATAATCTTCTTTTCAAAGGAAGGATTCATCGAAATTATGAACCAAAATTGATATATAGACACGTCTGAGATTGCTTTGACAAGCAGCAGGAAGCTATTTTATGTCAAAAGTTGCCAAGTTAGAGGCACCAACATCGCAGCCCTCTCACCTGACAGATGAACACTCTCTCTATGTTTCAAATGTGTTGGAACCAAATACTACTCCATTGACCAAGCTGTAATGGACTAAGCATTTTCTTTCTGTACAGTGGAGTTGCCCTTATTTATTACCTTTTCTTTGAATTCGTAGATTGAAACCATGCATCCCTAAAATTCAGGAAAACACAGAAAGTTTCTATTATCTCAACCTTCTTATTGACTTCTAATATGAGAAACTCTCCGTGACGATCAAGTTTGTGAAATTGAAATTGCAAATATAGAGGCATCGATGGTGAAAATAAGGGAAGGACCTTGGTTTCAAATTCTAACATTGTAAACAGATGTGTGTGCATACACACATGCATGTATGAGATGAAGGGTCCTTTGGGCCCTGTTGTGCTTATAAGTAAAGCTCCTCTTTTTGTTGATTATAAGATAAGCAACTAAAGATGCACTTCTCCTATAACCAGCTTTAACCTGCTTTCCCGAGATAGGATGACTGCTTTTTTCTAAAAGCAAGCTCTTTACCAAAAACTTGTACTACTAAAAATTGAACCAACAGTTGCACAGCTTAAAAGCACAGCAGGTTGAAACAGAATCAAAATTAAGTCCCTCAGAGAACATTCAACTGACTTCGAGAAAGAAAAATCTGTGTGGGCATGGGGATCACTTATTCCTATAACTGGCTGCTTTAGGAAGAAAACAGCATTAAATATGTATTTAGAAATGACAATTTAAATAATCTCAAAATCCAATGCTATATATGCAGCGAGTTTTCCTATCCATGAAGGAGAAGCAGGCCCCAAGATTCCTTTCCTAAATGGTGACGCTGCTTTCAACATTTATCTACATTGGCATGACTTTAAAGCTGAAAGTGAATGAGTACTGATGTAATCAAATTAAGTATGGTATATCTCTCTCATATTTGGACAACAAAGCAAACAGCTTTCAAATACCACCCTGTAGAAATCTTACAGATTTGAGCTCTATCGGCATTGGTAATGTATTACAGTTGCATTGTATTTATACCATTTCTAAAAACCATGCTTGATGCATCCACAGAAAGGCAAGGAAAAAACTACCCTAAACCTCAAGTCTCGTGAAAATAGGAATGACATTCGGATTTGTCTGCCCTGCAGATGATGATGTCCACTCCTGGCTCGATATGGTTAACGAAAGAGAAATCATGGTGGAGGCAGGCCAGTGATAATTGCAACAACAGCTTCGACAAATTCAGTTGATAATTTTACCTCCGATGACAATACTGCTCTATCATGCATGCTACTGGAACAACTAGAAAAGGGAAGCTAACTTTACCTCCTCTGGCTGTATGGCATCATCTGATGGCAGAGGATGCACACTGACGGACCTGCCATTCTGAGCGGAACCTAAAGTAGCAGTTCCATTGTCAAAAAATCGAGGAAGTGGAGTCAGGAAAGAACTTCTTCCTGCAAGGACCACCAAACTCAGTTGATAATTTTATCCATGCATGACATGATATAGAACTTTTTACCTAAATTGAAAAATTTTAAAAAGTAACCACCAAACTCAGTTGATAATTTTATCCATGCATGACATGATATAGAACTTTTTACCTAAATTGAAAAAATTTAAAAAGTAATTAAAGATGCAAGAAGCTTTTAACAAAATTCAAAACAAAATTCTTCATAAAGATGAGTCAAAAGAAAAAAATTACACAAAGGTTAGAAGCACACCACTCATACATAACCTCTTTTTAAGCTTCAAACGACCTAAGACCCTCTTTTTGGTTAACTCGACATACAGAATCAATCATTTTGCATAGAGGGCATCTAAAATAGTGTTTACCAGCACAAAGTCCCAAGAGTTTACGCCTCCGTAAGCTAACCATGGTGGATTAAAATCTTTGTATCAATGCACAGGTGAGGAAGAGGGCCTTTAGCATTTATCACCTTCTCCTTGGATCAGAAAAAAAGGCCAATCTGTGACAACAAAGATATAAATGAAAGCAAATTTTATATGGGAAAGACTTGAAAATTTTAAAATTGCCATCAAGGGAATAAACTTGTAAGTACATCAACGCTTAACAACTGTGATGAAAGACAATATTAGAAGTACATGATATCCAGATATGAATAATTCAGAAAACCATGCAGCTTTCTCGAGGTTTCATAAGCCTACAAGAAAACTGACAATGCACGCCAATCGCTATAGGAAGGGCAACCGACACAATTAGTTCCTAGCGTTAGGAGGAAAGCCTAAAAAACGACAATGGAGATCGGTGCTGAGCATCTAAAATCTTTAAAGGAACTTTGGCATAGCCTAAACAAATTGTTTGGTATGTGAGATTCCCAGATGGTCAATTGGCGTGTCATCATCAAAACACTCAAAGAAAATGAACGAAAGCTAAAAGTACTTTTTATGTGACGAAACCACACATTATTGGTTGGGCAAAAAGATGAACATATGCATGGTTTGCGTTCAGCTTAAACTCCTGCCACCTTTATCCATCCATAACTAAGCCGTTAGCTAGCAAGTTCCAGTTCCCAGCTAAAGCAACAAAACGCATGTACGGTCACACCACAACAGAACAACATTAATGAAAAGATAACGAAATTCCTGCTACAGATTAGCTAAATCCCATGTGCCATGTGTAGCTAAAACAGAAGCAGTTCAATCATGGTGACCCAAAGAAACAATTTTGTCACCCATGTGCTTATAAAACAAAATCCATCCCCAGAGTCCATGATAAAAAGTGAAAAAAACCAGTACAGACTTCTAGTTCAAGAATTCTTTAACAATAAGAGAATCAAATCTTGAAAAAAGGTGCCAGGGTGACACAAAAAAGCCTAGTCATGTTAAGAGAAAAAAAATTGACAAAGAGAAACCCAGACCACTAATCATAACAAAACGGGATTAGGAGTTTAGTGTGGAGGAGAAACCAACAAAGACGCCCAGAGACTTTGTAGGGAAGAACTTGCAATTGTCTCTGTAAGTCAACTCCAAAAACCTACCACCTTTCATGGAGGAATACCCACAAGGGATAAAATAAAACCCCATGACAACAACACCTCCACCACCACAAAAATCAAAGAGAAACCCACAAAGCCCAACTCTTTTTAGGCCCATTAATGTTAAATGCCCATCCTATGACCAAGAAAGAAAATCCACCATCCATGTAACTTGAAGAGCTAAAGCAAAACACCAAAGACCACCCACTCAGCCGTGGAGTCAAGAGATAAGGTCATACATACAGTCCCTGTACCTTAAAAAAGAGAGAGACAAGGTGGTGCTGGTGGTGGTGGGCATACAGTCCCTGTACCTTAAAAAAGAGAGAGACAAGGTAGTGCTGGTGGTGGTGGGAATGATCAGAGATCAAGTGAGGTTATATGGACGGTAAAATCCGTAGAGACGAGACAGGAGGGGATTTCTATGGTAGGTAAAGGAAGGATGTGAGCGTGTTAAAGAGGGTAAGGGATATTGTATTGTGCCTCATGCATCTACCACCTTTTGTTTTTTCACTTATTAGTGTAGTTGGTATTTTTTATGAGGAGGGTGGTGGTGGTGCTGCTGCTGCTGCAGCCAATGCCAAGCCACTGCCTAAGGTATTTATTTTATGATGGAGAAAAATAAAAATAAGAAAAGGTTTAATGTCTGAATAATAATTAGAGAAGAGAAAGGAAGGCAACAAGAGTTACAAAACAACGTTCGCCTATTGGGTGTTGTGCTTTTACTTGGATTCCCGACACTGCCCTTTTGTAGCTTCCTTGACACCATGTCGATTAGGTATCTTGTCTGCACCGCCTCTCTTACTATTATGCCCTTTTCTGGAGGAATCTTGTTTGGTTACGGAAAAGACACGTTCTCTTCTTTTTTTTAACTTCTTGTTTTAAAAATATGTTTTTATCTCTAACAAAATAATTTATTTTCTACCATCTCCATCTGTTATGTTCTAAAGCAATAATATAATGCTATTTTTTTTAATTAAGATAAATATTTTTTACTCTTCTTTGATGGAAGGGTGGGTTGTGGGAGAGGAATGGAAAGTAAAATAAGGGTGAGAAGGGTAACATTTCTTTACTCGGAAGTAAATAGTATTCATGTGTCTTATAATAATTATTTTTTAAAATGTGTTTTATCTGAAAATATATTAAAATAATATTATTTTTATTTTAAAAAATTATTTTTAATATCAATTTTTTAAAATAATTCAAACAAATTAGTATCATATCAGATATTTAGATACATTTATATTAAATAAGACTAGAAAACAAATAGATGAATTGAGAAATTAAAAAGTGAAAATCAAGCAAAAATTTGAAAAAGAAGTTTGTGTGGCAGTTAAAAAGACACTAGATTGTAAAGAAGATAAATCGTTTTTTTTTATTAGGATATTTTATATATTTTTAAATGGTGATATTAGTTTTATTCGTGGTTCGTGGTTACCCTCCCAATAAATATATATTTATAAAGATATAACAATGACTTAATCACTAGACTAACACTTCATTAACAGAGAAGATAAATGGTTTCCTTTTGGTTTATTTTTGTCTTAAAAAAGATACATTTATTAAATAAAAATAAAGGTAAAAAAATAAAAATTATGTGAAAATTGTAAAATTTAAATCATTTACTTAAAGATTGTAAAAATCATTTACACCCTCTTTTTCACTTCCATGCCTTTATTATTAAGAAAATATTTACCAAATAAAAGTTTGAAAATTCCAACCTCACCTCACCGCATCCTTCCTCGCTTTTTCCTTCAAGCCCCTCGAACCTAACGTGGTGTCAGGTTTCAATTAGCCTTCCCTGTCAAGCGGCATCCAAATTTTATTTCAAAGGCCTCTTTCAATTTTACACAAAGTTATAAAATGCCAATTCAGAAGAATAATAATAATAATACCAATATAATATATATATATATATATTAATCTTTTCTGGTTTCGTACTGGATGATTTAAAATCATACAGTACTGAGAATAAATTAAATTGTCAGAATTAAGCAGCCATGAGTTTTATTTTTTCTCTGGTCATGATTGAGCAACCGGATATGACATGAATCGTCCTTGATGAACGGGTCCTGGATCTTGAAGGCTAGGATGTATGACCTCCACACATCATTTACTGGGAAAGAAGCCTTTAACCACAGTGACAAGTACGTATATATATATATGTGCGTGTGTGTGCAAACTCAAATCATATGGACCCATCATGTGTAGCATGGATCGATAATAATGAGTTTTTTTATAAAAAAAATTATTTTGTAATTGTAGCGTGGTTATGGAGCTGACCAATTCCATGTCCTTTAGCTACGAAGGACAATATTTAAAAAAAAAAAAACATGATAATTTCTTTTTTTTTAGAATTAATCATTTTTTTAAATATGTTTATATCCGAAACAGTCATGGTCGCAACAATTTATACATCACACATGGACCTTAGTGGATCATAACATAACCGTTGAGATTAAATCAAGTTCGGAATCTCAAAGATCGAATGAAAAAGACATAGATAAATAAATTCTTTGAATTCCTAGTATTTTAAAATTCATTTTTTGAAAAGAAATAAACTATTAAAGAATTTTGTATTACATTTAGGTGGTAATTATAATAATTAAATAAAGAATTGAGTTAACTCATACACATACATTGAATTAGGTTTTTACATATCAAACAACAATTATAAAACAAAACTTACACCCTGTAATATGTGCCCATCGACATTAATGAACAGAGGAAGTCGAACGAAATACCACACAAAGAGTGTATATTTTGATGCTCATCTATTTTATCAATTGTGCCACCGCCACATCATTGAAAATAAAGTGTTTGTTTAGGTTGAATCAAGCACTACAGACAGCAGTACTCTTTTTTGGTACACCCAACAAATCGTCAAAAACAATGTGTTATTTTAGGTTGAACCACGCAAGACAAGTGTCGCTGCTTCTTTTTTTTTTCAGTGCACCCGAACGTGATTAATCTAGTCCCGTTGTTTCAGAAATTTTATTTGATAAAATTAAATTATATTTTATAATACTGAACTTTAATTTGATGCCCGGTATTTTTGGTCACCACCAATACACTACAAAACGTGAATATAACATTGGAGAATAAAATAAAATAGAAATTATTATTCAATATATATATGTATATATATACTAAAAAAAAAAAAAGGCAAACTCAGCTACGCTGCTACCGTTCACGGTGCAACCGAGTGGATATAATTTATTTTGTGATGGAATGGAGTTATCAAAGTTGACCAGTTCTATGATCCGTACAATGGAGGGCAATAATGTCCTTTGGGTAGGGTGGCAGGTGCCGTGGAGAAAGGGACACGTACGGGATGGTTTGGGCATAAAAGAGGTCGTTGAGGGTAGGCAAAGGGAAAAGACAGATGATTAATAAAGCGGGGTGGTTGGCAGCGAGCTAGGGGCACCGACGGGCTGTGATTGGATAGACGGCCTGCCATATAAGCTTGTAGATAATGCCCCGCCCCGCCCACCTCAGGCCCCAAAACTCTTTTTATTTTTACATTACCTTAACAACCCCGTCAAATTTCATAATATATATTTAAAAATATTAAATTGATATTTTTCTAATGAAGAATATTTTTAAGTAGAATATGAATATTAAATTCATATTTATTTAATTATTCGTTTGATTTAATAGTAAAATGTTAAAATTAAAAAAGAAAAATTAATTTTAAAAAACATAAAAAGTCTGTTAAATAGAGAATTTAATACAAGAAATTAAATAAATAATTTAAAAATATTTTTTTATTCAACAAAAAAAATTTTATCGGATGAATTTATATACTTGTTAATTAAATTTAGTTATATAGTTTATATTATTTAATTTTTTAATAATAATAACAATAATAATAACAACACAACAACACACCTATAATAATAACAACAACAACAATAACAACAATAACAATATACCTATTTTTATTTATTTTTTGGCTAATTAAAAGGGTGCATATATCTAAAATATATGAGAATATCATAAAGGTTACTTTTTAAAATAAGTTTTTCATATAAAAAATAAAATGTATTAATGGTTTTAATTAAGCTTCAAGCTTTATATTTTTTATTATAAAAATTTTGTTTTAGTTTTTGAATAAGAAAACATCGTAGGAGATTTTGGAATGCACTGATATGGGCCTGTCTTTCTAAGAAAAAGCCCATTTACAGTAAAAAGCTGTGAGATAATGAGCCCAATAACTGGTACACCGACAACTGGAAGGCATCCGTCTAAAGGCCTATAAAGGCTACCATGGCCCTGGTGCGGAGGTATTGCAAAGGACGCGGAAGAAAAACTAGGGTTTCCGTGAAAGCAAGCAACAGTCTTACAGTCGACAATATGATCTACGACGTCAACTCCCCTCTCTTTCGCTCATTCCTCAGCCAGAAGGGTGGCTCTTCCGCTAAGAGGTA